TGGTTCATCTGACATTTGCTGGGCCTCAATCTTAACTTATTTTCTACTCCTCTACTTGCTGACTCTGCTGAAGGGCCACAAAGAAATAAGAAATATGGAAGAAGTATGGGTGTGCACAAAAAGCTGAGGACCTTTGGTTGCTCTCTTGTTTTCGCCTGTTTTCCTGAGGACACACAAACTGAAGTGCGCAGGCCAAGGATGGGCACTGATGCTGAAAAGCCAGTGGAGTTTTATAGTGGAGTTTTGAGCAGTTTTATAGCGGAGTTTTGGTTACAGCATGGTGCCTTCAGAGCGGCAGGGATGTCAGCAAGTTAACTCCATTGCATTCTGGAGGGGACAGAAGGAGATTTAGAGGGACAAATTTGGTGTGGCTTTGTGAATTAAAGTGGGGCCACAGTCGGGCGTACATGACTCTAGGGCTAGGAGAACACAATGGGACATCCCTCTTGCTTAGACCATCAAGCAAGGGAGCCAGGGCAATTTCCTAAAAATGCTAAAAGCCTCTTCATTGAGCCAGATAATAAGCTCTGCAAGGACCACGGTGCAGGACGAGCTTGCCAGCCCAGTCCTACGCCAGGGAACCAAGGCTGGAGCAGCTTCCTGGAACTGGGCAGCCAAGGGCCAGGCCTGCTGTGCTCAGACTGAAAGGCCACACGTCCCCAGGGGAAAGACTTTCCCAAGGAACAATGCCCTTTTCCACGTTGCTGTAGATTCCCTGAGCCTAGGGGGATGAATAGGAGGAAAACTCTTTATTTTTATTTATATTTAACTTTTCTGCTTTGTTATTCTTTTCCCAAACTCCCCAGATTTGCGGGCTGCGATAGTCCTCTGGTTCTCATCTGCAATGAGGCGCTCTCCTCCACTTTGAGTGCCCTCCTTGCCACAACTCCCAGATCCTGGTAATAACAAGCTAGGGTTTGGGTGTCCCACTTTCCTTGTCCAACTTAAGCTACATAGTCCTCCAAGCAGCAAATGTGTTTCAAAACAGAGTGCCACATAAATCCACTCTGCTGTGCAAGCCATTTTAAAGCAGGGCTGGCCCTCCTTTTCTTGGCAAACCACATCTTTGCCCCAAATCTCATTTTTGACCCTCTTTAACTTTTTGTGAATACATCTCCCGTCCTGCCTATACACTGCTCACCTCAAGACCTCAGGAGGGTTCTGAGAATTCAGTACTTGGAGCCTTGGCTTCTTGTTTCCACAGCTGGGGACTCTGCCTTCAGGCCCCTTCTCATGCCAGGTAGGGGCCACCTTTCTGCAAAGGGACATGGTTGTTCCCTTGGCTTCCGAATCGCTGTCCAGGCACCTGAGTGAAGTTACAATTCTGACCCAAGTTTCCACTACTATGAGGAGAACCCAGTCCCGTGTCCAACACCAGAGTGTAGCAGCCTTCCTGGTTCCCAAGGGATATGTCTCATTCCGCCTGCGAAGAATTCCCACTCGACTAAACAACGAATCTGAGTATTTACCACTCCGGCATAGCCTGAAATGAACTTCTGTTTTGATTTTTCAGGCTGGCCACTGAACCACAAAACCAATCCATCCAGACCACTTTGTGAACAATAAATTACACCCGCCTTGCTGCTCAGCACCCCTGGCGCGTTCCTGGCGCCTGTCCCCACCTCGCTTCACCTTTCCCAAGGTCATCTCCTCAGCTGAGTCTGAGCAGGACAGACGGAGCTGACACGCAGCAAAACCCTGGGCTTACTCATCCCCTTCCCTTGCCCAGCCGCTTCCCCTGCTGCAAGGAAAGCCACCGCAGTGGTGACCTCCGAGTTCTCCTCACCGTGCACCGGGTCTGCCCAGCACCAAAGGCTTCGTTGGCATCTTGGCTTCCTCTCCATGGCCCCTTTGAGCCTGGCCCAGCCCCGGCAGTGGTAGGAGATGTTACTAAACCTTTCTAGGCGCAGGGGTGGAAAGAAGCCTGGTGGAGGAAGCCTTGCTGGGGGAAGGGAAGAGACATTCCCGCCTCGGTCATCATGCAACTTTCCCCTTCCTCTTGCTCACTCCCTTGCTGACCTTTGGCTGAGTTTGTCAAAGCCGTAAAGGAAAAGGGAAAAAGGAAAAAAAAAAAAAGAGAGAAACTAAAAAGCAAGACAGGTTGAAAGGACAGGCAGAGACAGAGATGTTATCTCACCCCTAATAATGATTTATTGCCAAAGGATGGGTGGATGGAGGCAGAGCGCTAAGCATGCGCTTTTGTAGGCGGCAGAGAGGATTTGCAGAGGGACATCCAAGGAGGCAGAGGCACGCGCACACACACATGCTGAATAGCAGGAAGGAGGGAAAAAAAGCCCTGTGATGAGAGCTGCTAAATTATGCAAACCTGTCCCGAGGCATGCAGAGCAATTCCTGTGGCTGCCGGTCATTCCCAAGGCAGACAGGCCACCAGGACACAAAGTCCTGCCCCAGCAGGCAGAGGAGGAGATACCAGCCCAGCTCACGCCTTTCACAGAGCTCATCATGGGTTTTAAATAGGCAATTCGTGCTCAAATACCCCAGGCAGCTCTGAGTATCTCAAGCACAGTTTCTACTGTGCTATACCAGGCTTTAACATCCCTACATGAAGACAGAGAGACCTGGGGAGCTCTCATGTGCCTCCCCACCCCAGCTGCATTTCTCAGTTCCTCCTCACATCATTTCTCAAGCATGCATCAAATGCATGTTAAAGAGGACCTCAAGCTGCCTAGGCCCCAAATACAAGGTTTATGTAGCTAAAATGAGACCAACAACGGAGATGGCTTAAGTTACAGTAGTGTTTCTTGTCTGGACAGGAATAATCTAATGGCCAAAAGGGACAGTGCTGCTTCCCCTACCTCCTCCCCCTTCTCCCTGCTGTCCACTCCTCTTGCATTGTCTTTGGTCTTCTGGTGAACCAGTGCAGCTCACTGGAAGAGCAGAGCATCGACTCAGCAAGTTCCCCATCCCTGCTGATTTAGGGAGCTGAAAGAGCTCCCATCAGGCTGAAGAGGGGCCAGGAGAGGGGCCAGGCCAGGAGATAAGGAGCGAAGGGTGCTGAAGTGGGACCCTTTCAACACTGAGCGATTATAGTATTTGCACTGTCTCATGGAACATCTGCTGGGGCTGGGCTACAAAAATAATCCCTGTCTTCTTCGTCACGGTTGGAAGAGCTCAAGGCCATCTCCTAGACTATCTCAAGCTGCCACAAGTTCTCAATGTGGTGTGTGAATTTATTTTGTATGTAAAGAACCCACTACAGCTGGCACTGCTTAGTTTTTCAAAATAAATCCAGATTATTGCTATCCTGCTGGCTCAGTTCTTGCAACCATTTTAACATTTGCCACCTATCACTGAGGACAAATAGCTGGTCTCATTCGCACAGATCAGGCCCCGGGAGACAGGATTAGCTGACCGTAGTGAAAAACAGCACCAGTGCTAGAACCCAACCCAGAGCCACTGAACAGGAACAGTGTGAGTCAAAGTAACAATCCTGCAGAGCAGCACAGTCATGGATCAATCATCTCAGGGCAGGAAAGCTAGAAGGACTTGCCAACATCAGTTAAGCTATAATCTTATTCTCTAAGAAAGAAAAGCACTTGGACGGAACTGTCCTGCTGAGGAGCAGAGATGTTCTTTTAAGAAGCAATTTCATACACAACTTCTTGATGCAGTTAGTTACTTCTTTCTAAAGTCATCTATAGCAAAAAAATACCACCAACACAAAAAATTAATCCACTGCTGTCCACATGTCCTTCTGCATGTCTTCAGATTGCTATCCAGTCCCCACGTCCTAGCATGATGGCAGGGAGGGAACAGAATGTCACGGAGGGCAGACAGGAGTGGGCAGAGAAAAACTGTGGGAGAACCAGGCCTGGATTTTGTTATGACTTGGATGGGAAGTCAAGGGGAATGGGGACTTTATTAGGAGCCAAGATCTCCCCAGGGAGGTGACACACACTGCTGTGGGTAGGGATTTTGGGGAAGCTTCGCTATTCTTAGCCTCTCTTTCCTCTCCTGTATATTTGTGCCTAAACAAGATTCCCAGAGACTTTTTCACTGTTACTGTCACTGCCTGTGAACTCTACTCACAGTGAACACTGTTAAGACAAAATGTTTATAATGTGTTCGCATTCAGATAAAACTTTTCATGTGCACAAAATGTCATTACTGGTAGTTCTTTCCCTTCTCCTCATCTCTTCTTTGCCCAAAGTCTAGAGCAGAACTTATTTTGCAGCAAGCTATTTATGGCCTGAGAGAAGCCGTGTTGATAGTTTGAGATTCACAGCTCCATTCCTGGGTGACAAGACAGATTTTCTTAGAAAGTCTTCTTCAGTCAGCAGCAAAAGACAAAAACACCTCTAAGACTGGATAGTGAAGATCTCTCTCTCATTATTTTGGACATTAACACTTGACTTTCGTTTTATATTTGTCTCCATCTAGTTTTCTACCACGAGCTCAGACCACGCTCACCACCATCAAGAGTTCAAGCTACTGAAATGCTCCCACCCCATTGGGTCTCTACTGCACTAGGCTGGGAGAAATGCCATCTGGGACCTTTTGCCTGCTCTGTCCTCCAAACCATTGCATTTGTTTATTTCTTTCCTCCCCTCAGTCTGTTTTGTCTGTTCAGACTGTACAATCCTTTGGGTGTGAGCCCTCTTCACTGACAAACTGCACTGTGTTGGTGCCTAACAAAAGCTATCCCTGCTTTTCTTCCTGGACACATCTTTCCACTAGGAAATGCATCTGGACATTTGGCTTCCTTGCCTTCATGTTCTTGTAAGAACCATGATGCTTCCTTGCTGGGGACTTTTTTTCCTATGTTGGGATTTGCAAACCCAACCTGGAACAAAGGGGTCTTGGAACAAGTGTTTTTAGCCAGCAGAATCACAAGGAGCAGGACAAGCCAGCTGCCCATGCAGACACAGGCAGTCTTAGGGTGAGAAGCATTCATACCCATAAAGCCAATATCAAGAAACCACTACTGTAACTCAATGGCTTGGCCATTGGTAGATGAGGAAAACCTTTGAAGACATTACCTCCCTGAGGCAGGTATAAATGGGACAGACAAGGACTCGAAAGGGCTCTCCAGTGCTGCTCCTCATGGTGCCGAAGACTTCGCAGAGGAAGGTGATGAAGCCCAGCCAGCGCTCCACGTCCCGCTGCTGCAACTCCTCCCGCATGGTGAAATCCTTCTGTAAGAGGGACAGAGACAACAGGCTTCATCAGCAAAACCGCATTGCCACAGGAGAGGCAACGGCCTCAACAGCTGTCTAGAGAGAGAATTAAGAGGAAATTGAAACTCAGGGTGGGGAGAGGAAGAGAGACAGACTGACTCTTTAGTAACAAGCGGGGAGATTACTCAATGTAGAGTGGCTGAAATTTCAACACTGCAAAGCCACCATAAAGTAGGTACTGTGGAAATAACATCGACCTCTGCAATAACTGTCACGACCTGAGATAGATATGGCTTCCCCAGTGTCCTGCCTCCCCCCTGCTTCCTCTAAGAGGCTTAAGGGACCTTTTCTGCATGCAAAAATAAAACTGAAGAAAGCCAGCAACGAACAGGTCAAATGCAAGATGAACAAAAAGGACACAAGTGGCCCAGCTGGGCTTGGTGGACACCAGCTCAGCCTGCCTATGTCCTTCCCTCCTTTATCCACGTGGAGTTTCCCAGTGACCCCAGCTGCTCTCCCTGGGAGTCTCATAAGATTATATCAGGAGACTGGCTCCCTGCCCAACCCGAAGAGGATCAGGGGAGAACAGACTTGGCACTAGAAGGTCACCTTGCTCCTGAGCTGCATGGTTGCCTTGATCAATGATTATGAGAATGACGAGATCTATGGAGCAACATCAGGACGAAAAGTTTAGAGAGATAGCTGCTTCCCCATCAATCTTCCAATCAGAGGGGAAAACAAAAAAGCTGTTAGTTCATCCCAAAGCAGGATATAAAAACACATCTGTATGGTGAAGACCAAATGAAACACAGAAATGCAAGTAAGAAATCTTCTAGAGGGCAACACCTGCGACTGTGGTAACACACGGGAGTGTGTGTGGTGCAGAGCTAAGAGCATTTCCCCGACATCACAGCAATACTACAGGAGCTTCTAGCTAGACATCTCACATGGCCTTGCTTGTCTGCCTCCACAGTGACCTCTCCTTGTTGGTAAAAATCAGCAGATATTATGTAGGGGAAAACTGGAGAACAAGACAAGTTTATGCTCAACAGTGTGTTCCCAATGTGGGTTGCGCAACCTGTTAAATCCACCAACTAAATAAATTATCCGGTATCTTTT